TATGACCACACAAATATAATGCATGGCAGAAATCGAGTTATTCAAAGCTCCTGCTGGAAACCAGTGAACTCACTTTATACTTAAAGTGCTGCAAAACAATTAGTCTGTTGGTATTATTGTGCAGGTATGTTGACTGGAAGTTTTTTTTTTTTAATTAGAATTAAACCAGGCATCTTCATGTCACACAATAGAGCAGAAGAGAGAAAGAGGGAGAACGAGAGATAGAGAGATAAAGCCGATAGAAAGAAAGCGGTAAATGAGGAAGTGGGGAGCGGATGTTTGGGTTTTTTGAGCCCATTCATTTAAAAACACAGAGAAGACAAGAGAGAGACATAGACACCTGAGAAAAACCACAAGCGTGTTAGAAAAACTCAGCTCTCACTGGTTTTCCCGAAACTAAAGGGGCTCATTGACGTAAGAGCAGGCGTGAACGCGATCACTCACATTATGCATACACGCACGCACACGTACACACTCACATAGTTACAAAGTGAAAAAAAAAAGAAAAGGGGGACGAGAATATTTCTGCAGAATTCATATAAAGATTTGTACAACCACAAAGCAGCATGTACTGTAAGTGTATAACACTAACCACTGATTTCATGACTTTGTGTTGCATGCAAGTTGAATAATCTATGCTTGATGCTTCAAAGAGAAGCCAAATGTGAAATGTTCACTAAAAACATAAAATAAATAAGTTAAACTGATATCTGCATATATATAAAAAAAAAAGCCAGTGTGAACCTTTGAATCTAGACAAAACAAAAATAAAAATAATGTTTTCACACAGCAAACGTGTTCATACTGAGCAGTCTGTCACGAGACTCCTGATTCTTTTAAATGTTGGTCATGAGTTCATTCTGAGCGGATGCAAACGAAGCTGATTCCTTCTGAAACTCTCACATCAAAGTCGTGTTTAATTCTTGGACATGCTCTGTTTTCAGCCACATGACTGCACTAGTGCGAGTCCCTGTGCCCTCGTGTCACGCTGTCATCTCAGCTCGTGTGTGGGAAGGAGCTGAACCTGCTCGCAAAGTCAAGTTCAACCAAGTGTTGAAGCTTGAAACTGGCGCTCGTGGGCTTGAGGATCGTTGTCATGTGAATAGTATCATCACCAACACACAAATATTGAGAGACAAATCAGTAATAGACTGATCAACCCACCCGTTGTACTACACTAACATGCAATTCCTTCTCAATGTAGCTGCTAAAACTTCCAATTTTGTGTTTCTGATAACATCTACAGTGAATCATCCATGAATAATCTGAACTAGTTTCCTTCACAGGAAGTAAAATAAAAAGTTTGGCTACATAATGGGGGAGGTACTCACTGTACCTTCTAACTATGTGGAGCCAGGTGAGTCATGGAGAGCAAAACAAATAAAGTGGGACGGTACTCCAAACATCTCATGATGTGCCGTATCACACGCTCATTTTATGAGATGTCCTGTGCTGACTCTTGTGAAAGTTCAACTCAGTGAATCACTTGATATGACTAAATGCTAACTAGTTTCAGTTTACAGGACAATATCGTTTCTCTAATACACAAGCAATCTTTTGTAAAAATGATAAAAATAAAGCAAACTAAATGCAGTAGATTTGGTAAAGATTTCTAGTTGGTGTGAAGCATAAAACAGAGGAAATTTAATCTATTTTACCGTAATCTCTTTACAGTTTGTAAACATCTAACAGTTCGCAGACTAAGGTTAACCTATTTTGACGAATGTCAGCGTCATAAAGATTTTGGTCAAAATCTTAAAATTCAATTCAGTTTATTTCTATAGCGCCAAGTCACAACAGAAGTCGTCTCAGGGCACTGAACAGAAATATTCATATATAAAAATAATAAGTTAACACTATTTAGAAGTGTTAACTTACAGAGATAGAACTCTCATCTTGAGCAAGCATGAAGGCGACAGTGGTAAAGAAAAACTCCCTCGTGAGGAAGAAACATTCAGCAGAACCAGGCTCAGGACAAGCGGCCATCTGCTTCGACCAGCTGGGTTTGAGAGGAACAGATACACAATGGCAGGTCGAGAATCACACGTTAAGATAGAAATAGTATCAAAAGAGAAATTATTAAATTTTAATTTTAGCAATGCTTTTAAGGAAATTAGGTCAAATTGTCCTCTAGTAGTCTAAGCCTATTGGAGTATAACAAGCCAACCCTAATTATAGGATTTATAAAAATGGAAGGTCTTAAGCCCAGTCTTAAAACTGGACAATGTGGCAGTCTTACAGACAGAAACTTGAAGTTGGTTCCACAAGAGAGGAGCCTGATAACTGAAAGATCTTCCTCCCATTCTGCTTTTGGAAACACTAGAAACCGCGAGTAAGCCTGCAGTCTGATAGCAGAGTGCTCTGTTAGGAAAATATGGAACAATAAGATCTCAAATAAAAGATGGAGCTAGGTTGTTGAGGGCTTTGTAGGTTAGAAGTAAGATTTTGAATTAAATTCTGGATTTGACAGGGAGCCAATGGAGAGAAACTAAAACTGGAGAGATATGATCTCTCCCACTAACTCCAGTTAAAACTCTGGCAGCAGCATTTTGGATCAACTGAAGACTTTTTAAAGAAGTATTTGAATACACAGATAATAAACCATTGCCACAGTCCAGTCTAGACGTGACAAATGCATGAACCAGTTTTTCTGCATCATTTTTAGTCAAAAGTCAAAGTATTTTTATTTGTCATTCGCACCACATGTGGTACATGTGGTGGAATGGAATTGTGTACACAGGGTCCCAGTTACATCAAATAAAAGTATAAATTGTAATGAAAAACAGTCATAAGATCTAAGATATGAACAAAGAAATAAGCTGAACTAAGAATATGCTAAGCACCAGTAGAACAAAAACAACATGTCGAACAACAGCAGCACGATAAGATGTCAGCTGTTTTAGATAAGATGTTTCTAATTTGAGTGATATTACGCAGGTGGAAGAAGGTGGTTCTAGTAACATTTTCAATGTGGGGGATAAAACACATGTCCTGATCAAAAATAACACCAATATTTTTAACATAATAAAAAAAAAAGTTACATAGGATCTTGTGAAATTTTTCACGCTGTCATGTGATTCGTTAGCGCTCAGAGATGGCTCTCAGCTACTACAACACTCACGGTGCTGTGGGTGCCATCTTGAATTGGGTTGGCTCACAAAAGTAATCAGTTATAATCGATCCTGTGATTATTTCTTTTAAAATAAAATAAAAATAAATCTCTTGTGTGGTCCAAGAGATATTTAGCTTTCAGACACATAGAGGTGAAAACAAATATTTAACAACAACATTTTCAACAAAAATCTGGAACAATCTGGTAAAGATTGTAACATATGTTAAGAAGAAGTGTCAGCTTCTAACACAACAAGGTTTAGGCTGACTTATAGCCATTCTTATTTTGATTAATGTCAGTTGGTTTAGGTTGGTATCTTAAATTGTACTGATGCCAAAAGTCAACCAGTTGTAGATGTACATCCATCGATTACAGTATTTTTTGGACTATGAGGCGTAATATCAACGAACAGGTCTGTTTTCATACAAAAGGCACACTGGATTATAAGGTGCATTAAGTGAAACAAAACAGTCAGATAAGTTAAACTCATTCACAATAACCACATAAAATCAGTTCGAGGTCAGTAAGCACAGCCAGAATTAATACATAAGGCGCACTGGATTATAAGGTTTTTCAGGTTATTCAGGTCTCTCTTGTAAATGAGTCCTCGAGGCTCAATGGGATTTACCTGTATAAATAAAGGTTGATTGATTGATAAGGTTCAGAGTCAATTTTTGAGAAAATGTAAGGATTTTACGTGCACCTTATAGTCCGAAAAATACAGTACTTTCTTTAGGTTGGATCAAAATCCATTAAGTGATATGTGAGATATTTGGCTAACAGACAGACCTTGTTAACTCCAATAGTTGGCAAAGTTTTAAACAAAGGTATAGTGTGATTAGTTGGCCTTCAGATTGTGGGTTGGAGGTCGCTCTCAGCTACCACCACACCAAATGTTAGCTGAATACCTGTAAACCTGAAGACGTATAGCTATCCTTGTGTTCAGTAAGGTTAGTTTGCAGTGGTGGACATCTTGACTTTAAAATTAGGTCATCAGTTTTAGAGACACTTGGTAATATTTGCAAAAGACCAAACTAAAAGTTATAAAACAAAAGATAAAACTTTATGGCTTTCATGCAGCACTGCAGGGTTTAAAAAAAGATGAATTGAAATGAATAGATCATTTTCACACAATAATCCAAATAATCCAATAACAAATCCAAATCTAAAATTTTCTTGGTTTGTTTGTTTTTTGGAACTCATAAAAGAAATCAGTGAATTGACATCGACAGCTGCTTAACTTTTGGAGTCAACTTGATACAAGACGGCCACCACAGCAAATCCGTCCTAGCAAACATAAAAATAGATATAATGCCAATTTTGCAGATTTAAGGCTAAAGATTAGTGCGGCACTAACTGAGTCTAATCTCCAATTTATACTTGAAGCGCAAACTTATTCCACAAGATCCGTGTGTCAATTTGGTCTGTTAGCACAATATTTCATAAACCATTGGGTGGATTTTAATGAAACGTTCAGGAAATGATCAACGAATGCACCTACCTGAGTAGGAGTTAAAGCCAATTCAATAAAAAAATGTAGATGCAGACCACTGTCTATAGAAAACTCAAAAAGTACTACCCTTCTACACCAGAAAAAAGAAATCAAAAGAACTTTATGGCTCCATGCAAACAGGGTATGAGGGTCTCAATTTGCTGGAAATCTCATGAATATTTATAAATGTGCATTATTTCGACCGGTTTAATGTGCCGGGTTTAGAAATTCAACACGACTGTTGTCTGACTAAAATCATAAGATTATGAAAATCCATGAGTTGGATGAATCATGGTATAATTTCAAGTTGAGTACGTGAAAAGTATCACCTTTACTGTACACACTGAAACGGCACCAAGATTTCCAATCTAAGTTATTGTGAACGCATCAACATACGTGTCTCCATCTTCATCCTGACGCGTAGCCAGAGCTATTCCGGCCAGCAGGTGCTCCGTTTGGTGGGCCAGTGGAAGGTGTGGCTCTGAGACTGGGGGCATGATGTACACTGGGTAAGGAGCTGAGCAGAAAGGACACAGAGGGACAAAAAGAGGAAGAAAGAGTGAAAGAGAGGTCAAGGTTAATCAAAGACAAGTCGAGATTTGTAATAAGGAAGTGTGCAGATGCTGGATGTGTGTGTTGACATATTCAGTAATGGGTTGACACAGTGAACTATAGTTTTGTCATGAATGGCTGCAGAAAAGCTGAGTGGATATTTTCACAGCACTACATGCTGCATCAGTGACTCCACTGTATGGCTAACCACATGTAATGTGACGTGGCCCACAAGTGAGCAAAACTGCAGAGATTTAAGGTCACTGCAAAATAAGAAATCCAACATTAATCAGATTATCCTGAACTATATCAAATGGTACAGTTTGAAAGAGTTTCTACAGATTTCCAGCGTTGCAGTTCTGAAACGCAGGATGCTTTTCATTCAAACGCATTGTTTTACTCAATGTACACAAAGTAATTTTATCTTCTACACTGATCATCGTTGTTGTCTGTTGTCATCATTCTTTGTTGAAATCAGGTCTCTTTTGTAAATGAGTCCTCGAGGCTCAGTGGGATTAACCTGTCTAAATAAAGGTTGAATGAAAAAAAACAAAACTGTCAGATTTCTCAATCCCAAATGACTCTTCTGTGGATTTTGTCTGTTTTCACTCCCTTCAGCTGTATCAGCAGCTAAACACATGACAGTGGGCATCCGGGCACAAATTGTGCTGAATGAAGGGACTCATTACCACTGACATGAAATAAAACTGTGCAGGTTTGATTTGACTGCTAGTCATGACATTGCACAGAGTATACCTTAATGTAAAGTGATGAACACTTTAAAATTTAAAACAGTCAGTTGTGGTATTATGAGAGCATGAACTCTATATACTAAAGTGTGTGAGTGGACTCAATTTGATTTCTTTAAACTTTTTTAATGACATTGTTCTCGCCAAAGCTGCAGATTGCACTTGCAACAAGTCTGCCATTGCTTATTATAGCTAAAAGTTAAATAGGAATGGGGAAAACAAGAATAAAATATAACGTAAAAGTAAAAACTGTGCTCTTTTTTTATATATGGATCTTAATATTGTGTCTGAAATAAGATGATGATGATAAAAAGTGTAAATAAGTGCTTACCATAGTTAAGAATGGGGGAAATGGGGAAAACGCAGCATGGATATCCTTCTGGACCTTGTCCTGCCTCTCCAGCGCGCTTCAGGGTCGCCGGTGCAACTCCAACCCTGCTGTCATCCAAACGAGCAGCCGAACTCTCCCGAACCGAGAAGTCCTTTTCCTCCCCCGGGGAGGAGCGGGTTCCGCTCACCGTCGGAGCGGGTGTCAGCTTCTGACCATCAGGCTCCAGGGGAATCGGACGCTTCCTAAAGGGGAGCTTTGAGGAACACGAGTCCGCTGGACGTTTGCGAGTCCCGCTGCTTTCTGAGCCCGGCTCGGTTCGGTTCGGGGAGCAGCGTATCTCTGAGCTGTCCGTGCCCGTGCTCGCGGGAGGCGCGGGCGAGCCGCCTGTCCCCCGCGCGTCCTTGGCGCAGAAGTTGCAGTCTGGAGTCCCGGACCTCCTGCGCCCTCGCGCAGTGGTGCTCAGATCCAGCGGCGCGGTGGCAACCGACTGGTGGTCACCGTTCATGGTAATGATCCTCGGCATCAACCGGACAGGTTTCAGGGGGGAACGCGACTGGTTCCGAGGAGATCAAAGCGGGATCAGGCGAGCCAAAGTGCCAAACTGTGCGTAATGTCCATCTCTGCCTGAAACAAAGACATTAAACTAAACCATCGCACTCTTTCTGTGACTCAGTGTCATTCCGATTTAGGTACAACCTTATTAACTGGTGCGAATTAGAGTAAAAAAGCAGAAACCTGGCACACACACACACACACACACGCACAGATGTGTGTATCCCAGCTCACCTTCGTGAACGAGCTGCGCCAGATCTCATCTGCTTTTAATGAACGTCAGTTTGACACCTCACAGTACTTTCACTTTAAACCGAAACTGTGATAGAAGCTAATTACACAAAGTCAGGCAGGCAAGGGGTTAAACACAGCTCTGAATTCGTGGAAATTTATTTTTGTTTATTGTATAGCTGTCTCTTATATTTTGTCTGTTTTGCATATATAGAGTTCAAAACACATTTAACATAAAAAAAAAATTCAGCAGCAGTTTAAGCAGCTCTGTGCTGCAACTTTGATGTGATGAGACATAAAAGTGTGATGCTACTGAAAATTAAGACAGACAGGACAAGAAATCATCCAAAAGCAACTCTTTTGAGTTATAGTTTGCACTTTGCACACACTGGTTGTTGTAATAGATGCTTCTTTTATCACTTTAAAGTCATCCAACTGAAAAGTGACGTGCTTTCTAACAAATACGGACATATATATATTTATTGAAGCTTTAACGTTTTTTTTTTCCACAAAGATTCCACTTCCTTTTGGAGTTTTTGCACAGCCTCATGCCAACATTTTGAATTTGCTGTTGTTTTCACGTGCATCGATCACACTACTTCCACTTCTAATCTAAAGTGATCTGAAATCTCTTGTGAACAAACAATAATGTCCCAGTTGTGTTCAAACGTGCAGCATTGCACATTTCATGTTCCATTTAATGGCATTGTGTTCGTTTCTTTAAGATTGCTGGAAAACATATCTTAACTTGCATGATTGGATGTTGGTGACATCACCAAACTGAATATGACACATGGAGCTCTGTTTTTATTGCTGCTCTGCATGGGGTCATACAACCTGATTATTAAAGTCTGATCCTCGCTCTGCAAATAACTCATAAAGGCAGAAAGCAAAGCCTTCCGTCCATCTCTCTAATCTTATCCCACACCCCACCCTCACCAACAAGGTTCTGATTACCTGGGTCAATTTGGGACTTTCCTCTTTCCACTGAAGTGTGGAATGGGCAACGGAAAGTCAAGCTTGGTGTCTAAAGTCCCTAAAACTCCCTGACGCTGCACAAACAGGCCCCGCAGCTGTCGAGGCACTCAAGCATTATGGTCTCATCTGGAAAAAGGTGTAATTAATGATCAAAAATCTACTTTTTTAATAGTTGGCCTGCACTTTAAACAGCTTCCTGCAGAGTGAGACAAAGGCTGTTGATTTAAATGCAGAATAAGTTGAAATAAAATCTTGTGAATCCAATTTAAAATGTAAAGACTCAATCAAAGAGCACACTCTCACTAAAACAGATATAAAATGAGATGAGGCCCTCCTCTGTAGGGATAGTGAAATGCAACACAGCGTTCAAATTTTAACACAAAACTTTCAAAATGAACTTAAAAACAATCCATAATCAAACCTCTGGGAAGTTTGAGCTGCTGTTCTGTGGTTTTAATATTTACTTTGAGATCATCTCTCTGCTCCAAGCTCAACTGTCTGTGTGTGGGTCAGAATATTCAAGAGAATATTTAGCAAATATATGTGAAGTATTGAGTTGAACTATGTTAAAGTGAGACATCCATCCATTATCTTTACCTGCTTTTTTTCTTTATGGGTCGCGGGAGTCAAATACATATCTAAAATAAAGAGAAAAGCATAAACAATATTAGTTGTGTAGTTTTCCAAGTTAGTGTCGCCCCCTTGTGGATGGATGAGTGGAAGGCTGTTTTCAAAATTGCTGCTGTAACAAATATTTTATCTGTTTTTTAATGTTTAAAACATGGACAAAAAAAGTTTCAGTCATTTGCTATGAAATGTTAGCTTGACTCTTTTTTTTTTGTTAATATTACTGATTAATTATTTTAAAGTTTTTGTTGTTTGCTGTTGAAGCGTTCGATTCCAAAATAAAATGCATTTTTTTTTAATCTTTAAAAGTTTATTTATTTTTTATTAAATATTAACTTAGTAACTTGTAAATAGATATTTGTCTGGCTATTTTTTCAGTAAAATTTTAATTCAACCTTTAGTCTCATTGAGCCACGAGGACTTGTATAGACCTGTTCTAAACAAAGAACACAGATGAGGTACAGACAACAATAGACAATCATGTATAGAGCATATAAAATGGAAAAGTAAATAGATGAAACAAAACAAAATGAAACAAAAACAGCTATATTATAAAGCAATGTAAAATACTAAAAACAGGAACATGTCTGCGTTGATTTTTGCCATGAACTTAGCAGTAGTTGAAAATCCCTTAGAGAGGTCAAGGTCGAGAACTTTATTATAGTATCCAAAAAAAAAAAAAAGTTGGGGAGTTTAGGAAATGTATTAGAATAAAGAAAGAAGAAGATGTTACATCGAGGATGAGATTTGGTTACACGGGACTAAACAGCTTAAAATAATCAACAAACATGCTACAGGTTGTTGTGTTCATTGTGGACATATGGAAACAATAGAACATATTTTCTTGACTGCAGTAAATATACAGATTAAAGAAAGATGTTAAATAGAGATTTAAATAACAAATAAAAGTAAGCTAGAGATAAAGGAATTGCTTCAAAGATAATAATTGTATTGTCCTCATTGTATGTTCCCATACAATGGTGAAATTGGTTCTCTGCATTTAACCCATCCACCACCAGGTGGAGCAGTGGGCAGCTATTGAGGGTGCTTGGGGAGTGACTGGGGATGAGGTGTCCTGCTCAGAGACACCACGAGATGTGCAATGAATGGGGATTGAACCCAGGACCTTTGGGTCCTGAGTCGGCTGCCTGCCTCTACACCATCTTGGCACTGTTACCAGCATTTTTAGGTTCTTGGGAAGAGCAGGTAATTTGGAAAAGATATACTGTATTTTTTACTATAAGGCACACTTAAAATCCTTTTTTTTTTTTTTTTTTTTTTTTTTCAAAAATCAACAGTGAGTCTTATAATCCGGTGCGCCTTATGTATTAATTCTGGTTGTGCTTACTGACCTCAAACCGATTTTATGTGGAACAACTGGACAATGTTGAGAGTTATTGTGAATGAGTTGAATAAACTTTGACTTATCTGACTGTTTTGTTTAGTTTTATACATCTTATGTGCCTTATGTATGAAAACAGACCCGTTCATTGATATTGCATCTCATGATCCGGTGCGCCTTATAGTCTGAAAAACACGGTAATAGTAATTTTAGCATTTGGTCCATACTTCAATCCAGAAGGTGGCAGTAATGCACCTCAAGTTGTTTGCCAACCGCCATAACAATACTAGAAGAAGAAGAAGGTCGAGCGCTTCAGATCAATCTTTCTGCTACATTTTGCTTGAAAATGTCAGGATATGTGGGTTTTATTATTATTATTATTATTATTTTGTTTATGGTTTTTAGATTTAGTTTTTGTAACTTGGGATTTGTCCTGTGTTCCTCATCATTTTCACTCCTCCAGTCTGCTCCTTGCTCCACTCAGCTTGCCACTCCCACTCCCACCTGTTCCCAGTCAGTGTCCCAGTCAGGCGTCTCCTCTTACTCGTCAGCCTGTTTCAGTCTCTTCCACTCTTCAGCAGAGCATTGTTGATTTCTGAACCACAGTCCAGTCACACTCCTTGTGATTTCCTGAGTTTTGTAAATTCTTGCTGCTTTAACAGCACTTTGTTTTATCTAAACCAGGTGGAGTCAGCCCCTCTGGACAGATTCTTCTTTGTTGAATCGTTTTGCCTTTTATCTAAAAGACTTCTTCAGACTTTTGAAGTCCGTCTTGGATAAAAGACTAAACGTTTTAACAAAGAATAATCCGTTCAGAGGACCTGACTCAACCTGGTTAGATTTATCTGGATTATTGAGCGTGCATCAGGGGCACTTTGATTTATTTTACAAATTAATGCATTTTTTACATTTTTATTTATTCTTTGAACTCCTTGAGTCAAACTGCATTCCTGGTTCTGAAAACCTTCTGCCACTGTGACCATGGCAGCATCATAAAGTATTCTTTGGTGGCAGAATTGCAAATAACCTGATCAAATATCTGCTATTATAGAACAAATACAATTCATAGCCTAACTGTGAGTATGTGATCACTGATCACTGGGATAGGGTGAGTTCGTCTCAGATTCCAGAGATCAAAAGTCACACATCAGATGTGTAGCATTCACTAAAAGAAAAATAGGAATTTATTATAAACTTCTGCATTCTGGGCAACTTTCATGACAATCTGTTGCCCTAATATTAGTTTTTGAAGCCCCGAAATCAAGATATCCAATTGGGTCATAGGAGAAACAAGCATATCTTTTTCCTCTGAACTTGGCAAATCTTCCTATTGCTCAACTCGTTTTAACTTTTTTTTTCCTTTGTCTTTTTTAGCTGCATCAAAAAAAAAAAAATAGATTTAAACCAATTTGATAACTTTGACTTTATTTTTTACAACATACAGTACAGTCAGAGTTGGAATTGTTCAAATAATTAATAAGCCTAAAGTGTCACATGAAGTCCTGTTAAAAAGTGGTAAATCAGTTTAAAAAATATATATATTTCTCATACGAGGAGGAGTCAGACTTGTAATCTTATAAAATAATATTGGAGTAGTTCTTCGACCTCTCTGAAGGTCTTTCAGATTTGTTCTTTGAACTTGGCTGCCATTTTTATTTCATTCTCTGTCCAGTCTTTGCACCTGACCAGGACAGTGTGCACTTACAAAAATGAGTGACGTGGACAGAGGACAGAAGAAATGTAAGGCAAAGTGAACAGTATGTCAGGGTTTCAACATACTTTGTGTATTCTTA